TCAGGGCCGAGGCCTGTGGAGAAGACAGTTTGTGTTCATTCACAGCCATGAAGCATCAAGTAGAGGAGCAGACGAGGAGGAGTGTTTCTCACAGTGAGGCTGCTGTGGAGCCTGTAGGTGGCGCTGTCCTGGTTCTCCACGCCTTCACACAGGCAGGGCCCCGGGGTACCGATTTCCTCACTCGCCCCCTCACCTGTAAAAATCCTCTCATCCAGACCGCCGCTCGCCAAAATGTGTTCTTCATAAACACGACTGAGAGACAGACTGAGTAGGAGAGAGAGAGAGAGAGAGAGAGAGAGGGAGAGAGAGAGAGAGAGAGGAGGAGGAAGAGAGAGGGGGAGAGAGAGAGAGAGGGAGCGAGAGAGAGGGGAGAGAGAGAGAGAGGGGGAGAGAGAGAGAGAGGGGGAGAGAGAGAGGAGGAGAGAGAGAGAGAGAGACAGAGAGATCAGAGAGATCAGAGATAGATAAGGAAGAATTATCAGACGTTGGGTCTGATCACACAGAGGGGTGTCGCCCTTGTCGTGGTCGCTCCAGCTGGGAGCGCCTGAGGAGCGAAGCTGCGTGTGCTTTAAGGCGATCAAATACATTTGGTGCAAAAAGGTGTGCTGGAGAACACATAGAACTCTCCTTGTTGCTATGCTCCGAGACCAGGAAGGAAAATGTATTTAAAAGGAGGTAAAGCCTCCTGCTTGATCTGATTGGCTGCTTCGACCTAAAGTGACACTGATGGGCGCTTCGGCTCCGACACCTGACCAGAGAAGTTAACCAAGTTGTTTAAGGAAAGTGCTTCGGGGAGCGCGCTGAACCAGAACAAAACAAGGTTCCTGCTGGCGATGCGTCTCCGAGAGATCGGGTCCTAACAAGAGTTAAATTAGAGATTAAAGTCGATGATGTCATTGAGGACGCTGTTCCCGAGATGTCGTCAATTCACCTGGTTTGTGAACGTTGTTCCTGAAGTCGTTAAAATCAACGTGTAAATGTATTCACACTCACAAACTGTCTCCAAAGTTCATGGGGTCCAGGAAGCCACTCAGCCCGTCTTCTTTCCCTCTGAGGATCTGTGAGACACCAGAGGTCAAAGGTTAGAAAAACAACATGACGGCAAGTCTGAGGTTAAAGCTTCATCACGCCGACCATGGCGGGACAGATTAGACCATGGCGGGACAGATTAGAGCATGACGGGACAGGATAGACCATGGCGGGACAGATTAGACCATGACGGGACAGATTAGACCATGGTGGGACAGATTAGACCATGACTGGACAGATTAGAGCATGGTGGGACAGATTAGACCATGGCGGGACAGGATAGACCATGGCGGGACAGATTAGACCATGGCGGGACAGATTAGAAGATGACGGGACAGGATAGACCATGGCGGGACAGATTAGACCATGGCGGGACAGATTAGATCATGGCGGGACAGATTAGACCATGGCGGGACAGATTAGACCATGGCGGGACAGATTAGAACATGACGGGACAGGATAGACCATGGCGGGACAGATTAGATTTTTTTTTGTTTATTTTTTATTTGTTTGTTTACCCTTTTGTGGAAGAGTCTCTTCATCAGAGGTTTCCAGAAGTGTTCTTTGACTCCTTTAGCCTCCAGAACCAAACCGTCATGAAGGTCACAGAGCGACTCCAGGAAACACAACGGACCTGAAGAGGGCCGGAAGTCTCTGCTGCTGAAGTCCTCAGGGAGACCTGCAACACACACACACACACACACATTATACACACACACACAGCCGTTTTGGATGCCCCTCGGTTTGCCAGATATGAGACCAGTTATCAGGTCAAACCAACAAGTGTTGCAGCGATGGAAGCGGGCAAGAGAACTGGTTCAGATAGAAGTGATTGTACTCGACCTAAAAAGCCTCTGCATGTTTCTAATAAGCTCTACGAGCAGAAACGTGCTCAAACTAGGATCAATATTGGAGAGAGATATTTGATCTTTCTCGTCTCAGCTGCCCTCCTGTGTTTTTGGTTGTGACCAAGGGGCAACCTCCGGTCTCGAAAAATGAAGCCAATGCGGAAGTGCAATGCAGTTCCTCGAGGTTCCGCTTGAGGCTGACTGCAGAAGCGCCGGAAGTGCCATAAGCCCACAGCCAAAAAAGCAAGTTTTTACCACAGGAATTAACATGTTTACAGCCTGGTTCAAAAAACAACATAGATCTGATTATTTAGTGACCTCATGTGCTCCCACTGTGGGGGGATTAATTTTTTTTATAACTCATCGGATTTTATTTTATTAAGGAAAACGCTTATGCCCATATTTGGTTGTGGCAGATTTGATTGACAGCTCTGCGCGCTGCATCTGTCTGTCAGGTCAGCAGGTCAGGAGGCTAACAGCTTGATCCGTCTGATTTCTCCTCTTTTTTACTTCGTTTGGAGAGTTTGTTTAACACATATCTGACAACATACACGGCTTGCTGTGTGGTTAACAGACCATCCAACAAGTTGATGCTTCAGTTTTTTTCGGTAAGTGATATAGTAGTGTTATATTTACTGCATACTCATTGGTCGGTATTTATATTTACGGACCTAGCTTGTTTAGCGTTAGCTTGTAAACCAGACGGCTAACTGTACTCAGTGTAGGCCATTATTTACGGTCAATGGTTTAGCCGATCAAGACTCCCATTCATGCTAAAGATGCTAATGTTAACATATCTAGCCAGCACTATTAAACTGGGGAAAAAGTAATTCTGAATTGTTAGAAATGTTTGTTGTTAAGATGTTGTAAGACAGAGTTTGTGTGATGTTAGAAGCCAAAGGTTCACCTCGGTGGTTAACCACAGACTGTAAATATGGTTATCTGACGTTATGATGAATGTTATACTCCACCTAAATGTGGACATTAAAAAACAAACTTTGTGTAGTAATTATCCATCAGTAACATAAACTTAACTCAACTGAACCTAATCTGCTGTGTAGGTTATAGAGGATTAACGTTACATGGTTGATGTAGTGTCTTAAGATTTGTGCAAACTGTTACCAAATTAAAAAAAACAATTCACTTTGTGTGAGTTCAGGGAAATTTGATATGGTTATTAATATAGTTCTTAATCATTACAGATGCTCTTACACAGAATACAGCAGTAAAAATATAAAATATAAATAACATATGGAATGAAAATAAGATATAAAGCAATTAGCACAAGAAATAGTTTGAAGAATACAGCCATGTACTGAGCTCATGTTAATAATAAATGAGTTACTGTATGTTCTGTACTGAAGCACAGAGAGTTGGGACCTGTTAATGATTTAAATAATTCAGGTTATATTTGTTTCATGTAAAGATGAAGTACTATCCACAATAAGCTGCTTAATTTTTCCTCACTCAAAATCTGAGACCATTTGATGTGGAATATCATTGTGCAAGTGAGAGAGCTGAAAACAGCATGATTACAATAAGGTTTTATCTTCTTAACTTTGAATAGATGTTGATTACCCGAATACTGTACATTTGTTGTCTGGGTAGTACACTGTTGAATTTATAAGTGTACTCTTACACACACATGAATGCACAAAACAAATTGATTTAATGAATAACTGCTATTTTCTCTCTTTCTTTGCCATCCTGAAGACCCCACACTAAAAAGTCAATTTTCTTCTGTTCTACTTCTGCTGAGAGAAGATGGCCAGCAGATAAGACGGCAGTACATCAACGAGCTCCACAAGCTTCAGGAGGAGGAGGAGGGTTTGCACCTTGGAAGACTGTATTCATGCTTCACCTGCTCAAATACAAATAACAACCTAACAACTTGCATTCAAACCATTTTCTTCCCATTTTAAAACCCTATGTCCAGCTTAGATGGGAAAAATTCAATATTAAGTGATATTGATCTGGGAAGACTACATTTCTAAATCATTTTTAACTGTGTTTTTATTCACAAGTTATTGATCTTATTTACTCTCGATGTATCTTGATTTAAGAATGGGGCTAAAACCACTTTTTTCAACTATAAACCTCTGTATTTGAGTATTAAGTAGTGTTATGGATCAATCCAAGTCCCAATCTCGACATTTGAGTACAAAGTATTGAATTCTAAATATTGTGTTAGAAATGTGCAGAGTGTCTGCCCTTCAGTTTGAAAAACTCTAACGGCTGTGTGGAGTACAGTATTACGTAGGAGTGAATTACTACGTCACCAAACCTATTAAAGCCTCGTCACCCGACTCGGCGAACTGTGGGGACTCAAGTGTATGTGTGTATTTCTGTGTGTGGGGCAAACATTGTATCATTGTGCCCCCCTCCCTCTCTAAGTTGATACATTCTCCTGCTTATTCTGCTCTGGTCCCTGGCATCATAACGTGCCTCTCGCACACACCACACACCATCACTCCCCCCACCCACACACATGCGCACTGAGCCCTGAGCCTGAGCCACTGTGTGTGTGGGACAAACATTGTATCATGTTGCGGTCGCAGTGAGTGGGCGTGTCTTACATTAATGCACATTTTAGTCTTGTCATTTCAAATCTAAAATGTATACTCATAAGTAGAGACAAAGGAGTCCATTTATATAGAAATATTTATTTAATCTTAAAAACTACATTCAAAAAGCTTGTTTTTACAGCAGAGATTAACATGTTTACAGCCTGGTTCAAAAAACCAAATAGGTGTGATTAGCTCATGTCTCGATCAGCACACACTGTACGGGGGGGGGGTGAATGTTTTGATGACTCGTCAGTTTTGATTTGATGAAAGAGTTATTCACAATAAGGCGTGTAGCTGACCAGCTTGACAGGCGGGCGCGGTGTAACGGTTTGTCAAGGGGCTTAAAACCCGCCTCAGCTCCAGCTCTCAGCCTGTTGCTAGGTTGAATGAAGGTAAGGGTGAGACAGCATTTAAAGCATGGAGACCGCCATCGATGCAGGAACATGTGGGTGACATCCCTCAGGCCATCCGGGGGAGACCTCCCTCACAGCGAGTTGAAGAAAAGAAGCAACTGAAGTCCACCCCAGAAGAACCAACAAATGCAGATGTTGTTGAGGCTCAGGTTTCTTCCTCTGTCTCTGCAGCTCTCTGGGCACCTCGACGGACAAGTCACCAATAATCCACACTGTGTCTATAGGAGAAATACAAAGGTGTTCAATTAATGCCTCAGACAAGACAAAATGTACAGTTAACTACATGTGACAGCTCAGGGTGTTTTTTTGTTATTAGCCACATCTGCAGGAATAATATTGAACAAGGTAGCTGCAACTCATAATAATAGATACCAGTCTTAAACACTATTTTTTCTAATACGTTTTTGGTGTGAAGCTGACACTGGCCACAGACTCCATGACTTCACGGGGTTCAATAGAAAACAAATGTCTTATAATAAATACTACGCATCGCTGTTGACATCAGTAAATATAAGACACAGACATTCCTCTTTTTGTCAGAACAGTAACAACCATGAACTGTATGCTTTGTAATATTGATTTCTTCTGGATGCCTCACATATTTATTTACAGTCTATGGTCTAACAGTAGTTTTATCAACAACAATGAAAGGAAAAAAGACGCCAAAGCTCTCGTCTTTTATCGTTTTAAAACAGATTTCTTATCCTTAAACATGTTCTTACACCCAAGTAATGATTTGTAACACAATGTGAGAATTTAAATGTAAAGATTAGCCTCAAAATGTTTCTTGCATGTTATGATAAAACTTTGCTAATGTATTGCTCTGCTAACACTGACAAAGTCTAACTGCTCTGACAAATAACTAATACCCATAGTTGTATATTTAAAAAAGTGTAGTTTTAAGACTTTAATAAAATATTTGGGTTGAAGATTATTCGTTTTAACTGTGTTGTAGAAAAGTTAAATGTTTACTTACTGTTTGAGTTTTCTCAGGACGAGCAGGAAAGCCGTAGGGGATGATAGCAGCAGTAGCCGTTAGTTATGCTCTGAAGTGGACTGCTAACGTTGAACTGAATGGGCGGAGTTTAAGTCCCGCCTTACTGCTGTTGCTAGGTTGATCCGAAGTTAGGTTGAGACTGCAAATCCAATATGGATGCGGCCGTTGATTGGACTCATTTGCCGCCTACGTAACAGACGGGTCAGGGTATGTCCAGTAATATTTACAGTCTATGGTTATGACTCAGCAGAAGCGTGCGGCGGTGCAGACTGTGCTACCTTTAAATTGGGGGTTGAGCAGGTCTTTCCTGGCGTTGCACAGCAGGGCGTTGGTGAGGACGAGATCGAGGGCGCACAGCAGCAGGTGGTACGAGTTCACCAGGTCATCACTGATCATGGGGAAGTTTCCTGAATGAGAGAGAGAGGAAGAGAGAGAGACAGAGAGAGAGAGAGAGAGGGAGAGAGAGACAGACAGAGAGTAAGAGAGAGAGAGAGGGAGAGAGAGACAGAGACGGAGAGAGAGAGAGAGGGAGAGAGAGAGAGAGAGAGGAAGAGAGAGAGAGAGAGGGAGAGAGAGAGATACAGAGAGGGAGAGGGAGAGAGAAAGGGAGTGAGAGAGAGAGAGAGACAGAGAGGGAGAGGGAGAGGGAGAGAGGGAGAGGGAGAGAGAGAGACAGAGAGGGAGAGAGAGAGAGAGAGAGAGAGAGAGGGAGAGAGAGACAGACAAAGAGAGAGTGAGAGAGAGAGAGAGGAGAGAGAGACAGAGACGGAGAGAGAGAGAGGGTGAGAGAGAGAGAGAGAGAGAGTGAGAGAGAGAGAGTGAGGGAGAACCCCCCTTTAATATGTGTCCTCTTTTAAATATTCTGAGCTCGTTCTTCTGACTCTTTTATTCACTTCTATCTGGTTGTTATTCTCTAACGTCCCCGTAACGTGATGATGTCACCTGTTGTTGTTGTTGTTGTTGTTGTTGTTGTTGATTAAGAGATAGAGGAGCCACAGGTCGGATTCTAACCTGGGCCGCCCGCTTAGAGGACTACGGCCTCTGTACACGGGGCATACGAACTAACCTCTAAACCACGATCATGAACTCTTAATTTGATGGAAATAAACGCCAAGTCATGTTTTTAAGGATTTCAAAAATCTCCTCTATATAACTCTATAATGAGAATATGTGTTTTTGTATCAATGCTACGTCTAGTTGAACAGAATCACAATCTGAACTAAAGAGTGGAGAAGAACATACTGGAGAACAGGAAACATAATGCAGCAGGTTCATTAGAGCATAGAGATGGTAGAGGTGGCGTGCAGACAGTCTATGTGCAGCGATCACAGGGAATAAACGTCACCACCCCCTCCCACTCACGCCAGGTGAATTCTCCTGATTATATCCTGCTGCATCCTCTGAAACGGTTCTAGACTAGTTGGTTGGTGCAGGGCTTCCATACCTTTAGCGTAAACAAACAGGACCCAGCAGAAGTTGAAGACCTCGGTCACGGTGCACGGATGGCGTCTGGAGGGAGATCACAGGAAGCAGAAACAGTGAGTGGTCATTCTTTAAACGTTACCTGGGGACTCCAGCTAACGTCACGTCTTCCTCACCTCTGTTTGCGGCTGCGGTGGATTCGCGGCGGCTCGTCAGACAGTGCCCTGAAAACTGCTTTGAAGATGGGGACGTACTTCTTGAAGAGGACCGCTGACACGGTGAAGTCCCTCTCCAGCTTCTGGGTGGTCTGACGGAAGTCCTGAGGCAGCTGGGCCATGTCCTGCCACTTCTTCATCTTATTCAGGAAGTCCACCAGACTGCAGAGAGAACGCCACAAGTCCTTTATCAACGAGTACAGATGAGTGAACCAGGACCCTGAACCAGGACCATGACCCAGGACCCTGACCCAGGACCCTAAACCAGGACCGTAACCCAGAACCCCCCAGGAGCCTGACCCAGGGTCCTCACCCAGGACCCTGACCCTGGACCCTAAACCAGGACCGTAACCCAGGACCCCCCAGGACCCTGACCCAGGATCCTCACCCAGGACCCTGACCCAGGACCCTAAACCAGGACCGTAACCCAGGATCCTCACCCAGGACCCTCACCCCTGACCCTAAACCAGGACCCTTTTGTCATCAGAACTTCAAAGAATAATCCAACATGTGTGGTGCATTATGGGCTGACCTCATCTCTGAGCAGCGCAAGATTCTGGTCAGAGAGACGTAGTTCCCCTCTGAGGTTCCTTTCCCCACCGTGGGCACCGAGGACGACCTGCATGCCACGTACAGAGAGCACGCCAACCAGTGCAGCTCACTGCCCTGCACGAGGGGGAGGCGGAGAGGGGAGGGAGGAGGAGGGAGGAGAGGAGAGGAGAGGAGAGGGAGAAGGAGGCAGGAGGAAGTTAATTATTGGATACATTTGGAATTAAAACCGCAAGCGGTGATGAAGGGCCCTTGCAACCCTGTGCATGTCGGGGTGTGTCACGACCACGGGAGTGCAGCAGGCCGTGCAGTCCAATTTTTGTAAAAGTCATACTATAGTATGTTGAAATAGGCAACGTAATGAAGATCACAGAAATTTTTGACGTAGAGCAGTTCAGGCTGGCACCGTCATGATAGCTATGAAATTTGGAGGAAATTGAGCATTGTATATAAGCTGTAGTATGTACTCCTTGCAGTAGGGGGTGCTATGGTTACAATTTATTATTGCTATGTGACTGTGTTCAGAGGCCAACCCTGATTATACATATGAAATTTGGAGCAAATCTGACATTGTATATGGGAGAAAGTACTTATACTTTGCAGTAGGGGGCGCTATGGTTAAACTTTATTATTGTTTTGGGATGGTGTTCAGAAGCCAACCCTGATTATACCTGTGAAAATTGGAGCAGATCAGACAAAGTATATGAGATGTAGGACAGTGTCTTTCCAGTAGGTGGCGCTATGTCAATGGCCCAATTGTATTAGGTTAGATAGGATCAGGCCAGTACTGAGATAATTCGAGTGAAATTTAAATAAAATGTGAGATTTTATAATGGAGGTAGTACTTGCAGTAAGGGATACTATGGATAAAGCAAATTATTGTTATGTTAATGTATTTAGAGGCCAACCCTGATCTTACCTGTAAAATTTAAAGCAGATCAGACAAAGTATCTGAGATGCAGTACAGCCTCTTTCCAGTAGGGGTTGCTATGTCAATGGCATAATTGTATTAGGTCAGTTAGATGTGATCAGGGGTCTCATTTATAACGGTGGCGTACGCATAAAACGGGTCTGAAACTGGCGTACGCCTTTTCCCAGGCAAAGTTTGTGATCTATAAAAACAAACCTGACGGTAAAATGTGTGCACCAGTAAGCAAACTCTGACCCAGGCGTACGTTCATTTTGGAGGCATGGGAAATTGGCGACACAGACGATGAAGTGGTGAATTGAAGCCTGCAGAAGGTATATTGATGCCTCTTCCACATTTTATTTCACCAAATATCAAACTTTACTGACAGATCCACGTCATCATTCAAACCGACTATAGTTATTTAGGCTATAATCGCGCATGTAGTGAGCCGTTTACGATAAGTAACTTTCATTATGACAATATATAAACATAAAATAAAAAATATAAGTCCGCCTCATACATATTGCATCAGCACCGTCTCGCCTTCATTATCCCGGACGGACCTCAGAGGACCGGACTTTTACACACACTTTTTTGACTTTCCCTCGGGATCAATAAAGTATCTATCTATCTATCTATCACTAATGTAATCACTGATTAGTTAAAAATATCGTGCATTTATCATCAAGTGTGGTTTTTAGTTTTAATAAAGATGCCTGCGTCAAGACGCACAGAGCGCACAGAGATACGGTGGCTTCACACATTCCGCCTCCCCCATACTCAGCACATCTTCATCAGCTGCACGTATTTTTTTCTGTAAATAATTAAAGTGTGGACATTAAGTCGGGCATCTCTGAAACGATCATTAGGCCTATATATCCTCATAATTAGTCACAGAGCAGACAGAGTTTCCCACGAAAAAAAGGGGCCAACAATCAAACGTTTTTGTTCGTTGATCAATCTTTTGATTACTAATATGATAGAGTGAGGCAGACTGCTTACTGACGTGAGCACTCTGACAATATGAAGAAGTCATTGTGGGTCCTGTAAACATGTAAACATTGCAGATATTCTCGTGCGTAATAATGAACGGTGGATGTTTTGGCATATAGGACAGGTTGGATGCAGCAGCGACGTGGTGTCATTCTCTAATTTTCTTCAGTTTGTGATCCTCCTGCTGCAGTAAACTACCGATATGTCCATTTTATCCTTCACTTCATTCACAAACTCCTCTGTTTCTGGGTCAGAAAGTTTAGTTTCTTTGTCTAAACTTCCGGGTTTCACCGCGATCCAGCGCTGGAAACCTTTGATCTGCCCCCTCATTTAAGGTTGAATGTGGGCGTGTAGAGAGCGGAACATGGGACTAATCTACGTGCGCACATTTCCAAGTGGATCGTGATTTATAAAGGGAACATTGCGTGCAGGTGTGCGTACGAACAGTTTTATAAATCTGAATCATTTTGTGCGCACGCCATTTCCGGGTTTTTGGCGCATGTACATTTGTAGTATGAATTCTACGCACTCTTTTATAAATGAGACCCCAGGCCAGTATTGAAATCGTTCACGGGAAATTTGGAGCAAATCTGACATTGTATATGGGAGATAGTACTTATTCTTTACAGTAGGGGGCGCTATGATTAAACTTTATTATTGTTTTGTCACTGCATCAAGAGGCCAACCCTGATTATACCTGTGAAATTTGGTGAAAATCTGACATTGTATATGAAATACATATATAAAAAAATACACAGTGGTGGACCAAGACATCAAAGTCTGACAGTACGCTGCAGCCATGCCCTTTTATTTAATATCTTGGTTTTGCACAACTTTAGATCTTCAACATGTCTAGAACACACTGAGACTGAGTTGGCAATGATCGGATGAACAGGGTCTCTGGGAAGAATGTTCAGATAGGAAGCCTGATAATTCAAAATAGGGCCATTATTCATACATTAAAAAAATTATGGCGGTTTTCCTGTTGGGTTTTGACAATGGGCACCGTGACATTTTATCAAAGTCCTGACATGGTTAATATGCAGAAAAAATGTCATGCATGTCGGGGAAAAAACCTCTTGGGGGGCCTCTTGAAAAAATGTCACATAGGTGCACCAAGACATCAAAGCTTGACAGTACGCCGCTGCCATGCCCTTTTATTTAAAATCTTGGTTTCGCACAACTTTAGATCTTCTACATGTCTAGAACACACTGTCACTGAGTTGGCGATGATCGGATGAACGGGTGCTTGGGGAAGTATGTTCAGTAGGCTATCTGTTGGGGAGGGAGGGTGTTCATTCTATCATGCTGCAGGTTATGCTCCCACACAGACGTGTCTCCCCCTCCCCTTTTGCGCAGCAGCGCTGTTGGAGCGGGATCTGAGAGTCTGAGAGTCTGATACCTGAGAGTCTGATATCTGAGAGTCTAAGAGTCTGATATCTGAGAGTCTAAGAGTCTGATATCTGAGAGTCTGATATCTGAGAGTCGGATATCTGAGAATCTGAGAGTCTGATATGTGAGAGTCTGATATCTGAGTGTCTGATATCTGAGAGTCTGATATGTGAGAGTCTGATATCTGAGTGTCTGATATCTGAGAGTCTGAGATCTGAGAGTCTGATATCTGAGTGTCTGAGATCTGAGAGTCTGATATCTGAGTGTCTGATATCTGAGAGTCTGAGAATCTGATATCTGAGAGTCTGATATCTGAGTGTCTGATATCTGAGAGTCTGAGAATCTGATATCTGAGAGTCTGATATCTGAGTGTCTGATATCTGAGAGTCTGATATCTGAGAGTCTGAGAATCTGATATCTGAGTGTCTGATATCTGAGTGTCTGATATCTGAGAGTCTGAGAATCTGATATCTGAGAGTCGGATATCTGAGTGTCTGATATCTGAGAATCTGATATCTGAGAATCTGAGAATCTGATATCTGAGAGTCTGATATCTGAGTGTCTGATATCTGAGAGTCTGAGAATCTGATATCTGAGAGTCTGATATCTGAGAGTCTGAGAATCTGATATCTGAGTGTCTGATATCTGAGAGTCTGAGAATCTGATATCTGAGTGTCTAATATCTGAGAGTCTGATATCTGATATCTGAGTCACTCAGGTCTCGTTTCTCTTCTTTGTCGTGTTACGTATTTCAGCGCTGTAAACTCTGGGGGCGAGGACGGCTGAGCCGTGAATATTATATATATAATATAATTGCTGGGGCGGCCGAAATATGTTTTTTATCAAAGAAAACCTGCGCTAAGATCTGTGTGCGAGTGTTGAGTGCGCTGTCAGCAGTGAAGCCGTCGGCTGCCTTTCAACTGTGACACACAAGCGCGCGCACGAGCGCTTATGATACGTTCATGCTGTAGCAGTTACTAGCGCAACATTTAAAAAAATTTACTGACAAAACACCGGTATGAGAGGAAAGCGCTGTGAAATTGAGAACGTGTTACAGTTTACTTTTTTTTTTTCAGGCAGTATTTTAACTGGCCCGAGTGGGCCAGCTGAACGTGCAATCAGCTGGCCTGGACTCTATCAATCATTCATCCGGGACAGCGGGCCAGTTATAATGTCGAGCCCTGTTTAGGTCCTGCGTGGATCCTGTCGTACAATGATTTCTACACCAGATTGATAAGTGAGGGCCCTTGTGATGTCACAGTGGGATTCTGGTAAAAAAAAAAAAATCCCCCCCCCTCCCCTGGTATCTCCACCCATGGACTCCAGCCCCAGCCTAGAACTAAACTTTTGAGTAGGTTGGCCATTTTTATTCTCGCTACAGAGGAGTGATGTCTACGGGGAAACCTCAGGGGGAGGGGTCATTGCATTTAAAAAGACACACACACCAAAACAGAGCGTTCTGAGAGAGCTGGTTTATACAGGGTCACAAACCTCCTCTGGTGTTTGATTCATGTTATATTTTGACCAAAGCACAGCAAAGATGTTTCATTTAGACCACAGGGGACTGTTTGAAAAGGTGGAGAAGGGGGAGAATATGTCCTCTTTAATAACATTTAAAAGATAATTAAAGATGAATAAACAGAGTGATGTTAGCTAGCAGCGAGCGGCAGATATAAAAGCAGCGACACATATATATATATTACACATATATAATATAATATAAAGTGTGTGTACCTCTAAGGTGAAGGTCCTGCTGATGTTCTCGTAGCTCCTCCACGCCTCGCTGCTCGGGTCTTCGTCCATATTTAGAGCCCGACACAGATCCTCAAACCCGGCTCGAGCTCTCCGCGCGGAGTCCTCCTCTTCGCTCATTTTACGGCTTTTTATCACAACCTCCTGTAAAAAGTCGAGTTCAGATTAAAAGGAATAAGGGCCAGAATAAAACCGAGCCGTGTGTCAGCAGCTGTTTCTTCTAAAACCTCCGTAACAGCGTTATAACCAAGCTGTTACTAGACGGACATTTAAATGTCTTTTAGACACTACGACGCGGACGTACGGAGGCCCGCGAGCCGCAGCGAGACGTCATGTCTGTGCGTAATGTACGTAGAGAATACCACAACCAGCGTATCTCAGCCCCGCCCACTAAACGTGCGTAGCGCAGCGTGAGTGGGTGGGTCAGCCGTCAATCAAAACACTGTCACTTCCGGTTGTTTGTTCTCAGTAGTTTGTAAGTTCGCTCGTCTGATAAAATCTTTAAAACGTTTTAAAGCGCGATTTTAACATCTGAAAGCCTCAACATGTCGTTAATCGGGGCTCCATTCATGTTGGCTTGTTATCATCGTGGTGCACGCGCTGAACACCGAGTGGACCTACTCAGAGTTTATTTAACTTATTAAAATCTGCTGATCTGAGTTTCCCATCTGAGAGTAAATCACCTCAGAGCTCAGGGTCAGACTGAGGGTTTGTTCAACCTTCTTTCAGAAACGGGCCCCGTTTGCGGAAGTAAACAACAGCCCATCTGGAGGAAATTAACATAATTAAAATAAAACAGGTCTACAATCTCTCATACAGTCTGTCATTTATACACAATGCTCCGGGTTGAAATATGATTGGCATGCTATTAAAATTGTAGTATACTTTTCAGACATTCAGGTTTAACTTTTACTCAGCTGTGAATAATATGTAGTAATAGAGCAAATCAAGGACCCTGTAATTGCAGCTGCTGGTCCAGCTGTGGCACATGCACTGTACAGTCTAAACAGCAAGAAAATCTGAGGTGGTAAGACTTATAAATATATGAACATGTCATTTTTGTTATTGGTTCATGCCCATAATGTGACAAGATGTTCAGTCACCACCACTGACGAGTTCAAACAGCTGCGCTCCGGCATTTTGATCTCTGACCTGGCACTTTGCATTGTGGGAAACAGTACACGAGGTAGACTGGTCCAATGCATACTGTACATTTTTCCCGAATCAGTATGACATCCTGGTATTTTTTGGCATACTGCGGATCTCGCAGTTGTTCGCATACTGAATACTGCATACTGCATTTTGACCAAATCAGTATGCACTAGTAGTATAGTATGTGGTTTCGAAAACAGCCAAAGTGCCACTTTTAAAGAATACTGCAGTGTCAAAATTATCCAAGAATCCCTCATAAAAGCACACATTTGCAAATTGAGTGTTGTTTCAAGTACACCTGATGCAACTAATCAAGGGCTCAATTAGTTCCATCAGGTGTGCTTGAAACACATTAAATACCAGGGCTGTATCCGAATTGCCAAGTACATGCTCAGTCTTTCAGTAGGCAGTACGTACTATCCGTGCTGCATACTATTAGTACCTACTATTCAATAGGCACACACAGTAGGCAGATATTTGCTCCTACTTCTACTGATTCATTCAGTATGGAAGTGACGTCATTTACGTTTCCCGAACCCGAGTCCCGAGCCGCAGCCACCTGTTTTTTTTTTGTTTAGCTTCATTCAAGAAGAGTAATGCGCATATACAGTCAGGTAAACAAAAAACAATATTACAATGTAAATCAAGTAAAAGGCAGATTAAATAACTAAATAACATATTGTACATAAAGGAAAGAACAAATGAAAGACAGTAATATACAGAATAAAGTAAAATAAACCAATAAAGACACATTTAAATAGTGAAATCATTATTTAAATAGAGGGGGAAAGGTTTTATAATAATGCAGACATTTGTTATATTTTCTGTTGTTAATTTAAAGTAGTGATTTCAGTCGGGACTTTAACTCTAGATTAAAAATTGATTATATTAATCCACGCTCAATTGTTGTGATTTGGAGGCGGACATGACGTGATGATTTACATTTAATTTCACACAGCATTGTGGGTGGTAAAACACAATTCATTTCCTGAAAGCACGCATTCGATCCGATGCATGAAATCCGGAAGTTAGTATCCATACTGAAATGTTCAGTATACTGCGCGGACCCAAAAAATGCATCCTGAATGACCACGAAAGTTCAGTATACTGAAACTCCATACTGAATAGTACGTACTGCCTACTGAACTGTGACAATTCGGAAAGGGCCCTGGTCTGACAAGGAGTTTGTTGACAGTGACAATTGGTTGCATGTGAGAAACATGGCTAAATCAAGAGAATTGTCCAAAAAGATAGAAGAAGAAATCATTGTCTAGCACAAGGAAAAGGATACAAAAAGATAGCAAAGGCACTGAATGTTCCTAGAGATACAGTTGGAAGCATAGTTCGCAAGTTTAAAGCTAAAGGAACTGTGGCTACACTTCCTGGACGTGGCAAAGCTATCAATGGCTGCCATCAGATTCCTGAGGAGGCCAGTGGTCAAAAACCCTCGAGTGACTGCAAAAGACCTGCAGCAAGACATGGTGGCAGCAGACACTGAGGTTGCCGTTTCCACAGTTAGGCGCATACTAAACGCTGAAGGTCTCCATGCCCGAACTCCAAGACGTACACCACTACTGACCCAAAAGCACAAAAAAAGCCAGCTCCAATATGCTAAAAACCATATAGATAAGCCACAGAAGTTTTGGGATTCTATTCTGTGGAGCGATGAAACCAAAGTGGAACTTTTTGGGCCTATGGATCAGCGGTATGTCTGGAGAAGGAAGAACGAAGCATATGCTGAGAAGAACACCCTTCCTACAGTGAAGCATGGCTGGGGCTCGGTGATGCTCTGGGGCTGCTTTGCTTCCTCTGGCACTGGCAAGCGGCGACAAGCATCAGTGAGCGAGTGTGTGACGGCAGACATCGAGAGACACTTGCACTCCATGAAATTCAAAGAAAACTTTATTCAGATCAAATTTACAAAACAAGACAAGTACAAAAGACAAATATAAAAAACACAGATCTTCTGTTATGAAGGTCACTGCGCTCTGATTGGTCGGAGCTGTCAGGTGAGTGCTTACGGAGCGATGAGTCTCCGTTTGGTGGTCTGCTCCACCAGTCTGTGATAATCGTCCAGTTTGTCTCGGACTTTTTTATAAATCTGCAAACAAACGACAAACTTTCAACGCCACGGTCTCACACACACACACACACACACACACACACACACACACACTAAACATTTACTGTAACCAAGCAAAGTAAACAGGAAGTACTCACAGTGCTGTTGGTCTGAGTCTCAAGCGTCTGCAGCAGCTGATCGATGGACGTGTACGGCAACCAGACGGAGGACGAGGTCGCCGACAAAGGCCTCTGAAACACACAAACACAGAAGAAATGTTATAACACTGTTCAATTAGTCAAACAAATCAGACAGCAGAGTGCGGACTGCTCGCAAAAGACATTTTCTTCATTGTAGCCGATATTAGCAGCCACGTTTCACAACCTCTCTTCCTGCAGGACTCAGGACTGTGGATTAACATCTGGGTTACTTTTTACCAAGAAACAAAGGAATTGATCAATGATTTAAGTCTCCCTCTCAGACAGGCTCTGGAGGACAGGATATTATAAACATTTACAACACGTGGAATAAACAACCACACGGAAACAGAACACTCTGCTATCTACGAATTGACCCCAAATACATGAACTGTGACCGAAACCAGTCTCTGCAAAGTCGTAAAAATTGACCATCTGTTGAACTCTGCATCAAATGAACATTTATGTCTTTCTTCATCTAGATATTTGTAATTGTCACATTGAATGTATTATAATCATCCTTTTAAACTCAAAATCTGATGTTCAGAATAGGAATAAGAGTTATAATAGTTTTAATAGGAATTTGACGTGGAGTGCTATTGCCATCTAGTGTTAGAATATCCATGAATATGTAACCTTCATAATTATACATTTAGACGTGTTATAAAGCATACTCTTTGATATTAGCTATAGAAGGTGTTATTTAAAGACACCAATTTCTTTTCCTACTTTATTAATATGTCTTATTAAGAATGTTGACTGTATAACATGGTTTTGTTCACCTACAGGCTGGGATTAACTGAGGATGCTCCCAGATGGTGCGATTTTCATCTCAACATGAATCTGATAGAAATGTTTGTCTAAATATATGACGTGAACCTACATCAACGTGGATCTTTTAGAAATAATATCGAAATGAATGTATGGTGACGTATATATGTTTAGATTCTTAATCTTATGAGTAAACTCAGTTTAATTTAAACAATTGTCCTCCGCTCAGAGTCGGAGTGACCCTTCTCCTGCAGGGCTCCCTCTTTCTCCCGCAGCTGATAAGAGTTCACACTCAGCTCAGATATCCAGTTTAAAGTTTAAGGTTTTTTATAGATGAAACAGAGCCCTCCTTTAATCCAAATAGAATCCTAAAATTCGTTTATCAACTTTTTCCTTTTTGATCATTTTCTGATTAAGTCATTCAAACAATACCGCGTCTTATCTCATTACTAAATATATAATGTCACCATACATTATAATTGCATTATCCCGATCATAATAATCATTATTTATCTGTTTCATCTATACCTTATTGGTAACCCTTTTGATATTAATTTCACACAATTCAGAACTTTGTCTGTGTGTTTTCTTGTTTAACATTTCCAGAACTTACTTCTTTGAAGATATGAAACTGACTGATTAATTAATTAACTTATACAGTTGAAGTTAATTTCTTTCTATAATGGGAAGTGGTGCCCCTTCTAAATCTGAGGTTAAATAAAAATATAATATCTTAATAAATTAATTACGCTACTACATCAGTGATGAAGTAATAAAGATGTAGAGAACTCGAGTCTGTCTCCTGCAGTGAGTCAGTCCCCATAGAGCCCCATGTTAAAATGTTCAACTTTACAGCTGCAGTTCCTCCAGTGTCCACTAGAGTCTGTCTCCTGCAGTGAGTCAGTCCCCATAGAGCTCCATGTTAAACTGTCTAAACTTGTCAAATTCATACCTGTATTCCGTAGTACTGGTGTCCTCGTCCCAGCAGAGCATCAATGAACTCCAGAACCAGCTCAGCTGCGGCCTCCAGGAGGTCAAAGTTCAAGAAGAGTCGCAGCAGAGACGCTGCATCCACTGCCTGAAACAGACAACATGTCCCAGTGCATCATGGGAAGATAACCAGCTGATCTAGTCCTTCAGTAAACGTTGTCTAATGAGACAGCATGTTGTTAATTTAGTCTGAAGTGACCATATTTAGACAAAAGGGAGTGACCCACTCCAGCTCCGCCATCCCGCAGGTAAACTTCATCCCCTCCTCATCGGCTGATCACTCACCTTGTAGGACTTTAGCAACCAATCAGGCAGAGGGACGCCGTGTGACAGCAGCTTGTTGATGACACAGCGATGATGTCGTCCGTTAGAGGAGGGGTACCTGTCCAGGTAAGAGGCCAGCAGTCGCCACGCCTCGTCTGTCGCACTGAACATCAACAGATTTTATTTCTTATGTGAAGAAAAACACTTTAACCTCTCACCTCTGATAATAAAATGTTAACCATAAAACAGATCAGACCTGGACTCTTTGGTGTTGACGACTGATGACAACTGATTGGCAGCCAACCAGCTCCAGGCTTCATTCTGAGACTCCTCCCCCCCAAATTGGAGCTTAATACACCTGGAACAAAACAAATCAAAACTTAGAGACAAAGAGTGAATTTAGAGATGATGTAAAGAATGTAGAGATGAACAGATCATGTAGTGAAATGTAAACAGGAAGTGGTCACAGACTCACTTAAAGGTGAGACTCTCGTACACAGACGTCAAGTTCAGATCGAACGTCTGACACACGGACAGAGCCGAGTCAAACAGTCCTGTTTGGACCAACAATGCCACCATCTCTTCTGCTGACGCACTGCCTGCAGACACACACACACACACACATACAGAGACACACACATCAGTAACATCTAAAGCCGGATCAGTGATTATTTCCAGTATTTTCTTTGTTTTTCTTAGAATAAGCTCCTCCCCCTCACACCTGCTGGATCCAGAGGTTACAGGTAAATTAATAAAGTGCCTCTGTGACAGGACAGTAACACGGCCCTGATGCTGTTACAGATGAACAGGTGTCATAGATAATAAAGGTTAAAAGTTGTACCTGCGATGGCAGCGGACGGCGGGTGGTGCTGTGCCAGAGTGAGGCGGCTGCGGGACAGGATGTACTCCTTCTCCAGGTCCTTGAGTTCCAGGATGTCCACCTGACGCCTGACTGCAGGAGGAATAAAACAGTCAGAGGAGGAGACACACCTGGACAGGTGACAGAGGTCACTGTACCTTTAAGAAAAAGTGTTCGAAGGGATGTTCGATGTGACATCACCTGGTTCTGAAGAGAACTCTCCATCAGAGTTCCTCTTTGGAGACGCTCCTGGACGCTCATACTGAGGACACACACACACACACACACACACACACACACACACAGACACAGACAGACACAGACAGAGACAGAGACACGACACACCACACACACACACACAAAATGATATCCATCATGTCAGTAGTTTTTCAAATATTGACTAATCATGTTCATGTGGGCAGTGTGTGTGTTTATGTACCACAGCTCCGGAGGCGGGCTGGACGATCCAGGCGTACTCTGGTCTGATGAGGCGCAGACAGGTGAGAGCTGACAGGTAACAGTTCACCTGTTTCTGAAGACCCTGACGAGTCCTAACCTCCCGACCCAGACGCATCCCCCAGCTCAAACATCACCGTACCAGCTACACACAGAGACACACACACACGTTGTTAGTGATGTGAACATGAGATTTGTAAATAAAAAGTTTAAACCGTTCTTAATAAAGTTTTTTGATAATCAGCAGCACTGCATCTTTTCTGTATCAAAGCCACAGTTACCAGGTCTACTCAAGTCTTACCTTTCCTGTAGTTGTGTCTGTTGATGTGGAAGGCGTACAGCAGCTCGTAGTAGTTGTGAGCCAGAAGGTCCAGACCTCTGGCTCGGGACTCGATGATACTCACCACCTGAGGACAACACAACAGGTAACTCAGCAGGTAATCTGTTACTTACTTTAGGACACAAACATTGAGCTGTGTCATTCCTATGATCCATGAGGGGGCGCCACATTAACAGTTTATAGACTTTAAAAGTATTATTTAGTAATATTTCTGTAAAGGAGTCAGAGGTCAGGTGAAGGTCGTACCTCGTCATGCAGGTTGACATACGGGAACTGAACTAAATCGTGCAGCTGAGAGCGTTCACACAGAACCACCACCAGCTGACGGAGACAATCCAGCTGCCTGTGAACATCATAACACTGATTATTTACTAAATACTTACCTCAGATACATGTGTGTGGGTGTGTCTCTGTGTGTGTCTGTTTCTGTGTACGTGTGTGTGTGCGTACGTACATGCTGCAGTCAGGGTTCTGTGTGAGCGCTTCGTATGCCTCACTGTTGTGACCCAGGTCCAAATGATGTTTGAAGATTCTGGTCCTCAGAGCCGCCTACGCACAAACAGCATAAATATTCATCTTTACAAATAATGTTGAAATATGTTATAAACATGTTTACCCTGTGGTTATTTTAAAGTGTTAGCGTTACCTGACTGTTGACGTCGTTAGCGGCCTCTGTGATGGCGAGAGAGGCCAGCTGGATAACGAGCTCAGGCAGGCCGACATCCTCCAACAGCCTCAGCACCTACACACACACACACACACACACTACTTGTTGTAGTAAAGGTGTATCTTGATGTAGTACAGGTGTACCTTGTTGTAGTAAAAGGTGCATCTTATTGTAGTACAGGTGTATCTTGTTGTACATGTGCATCTTGCTGTAGTACAGGTGTACCTTGTAGTACAGGTGAATCTTGCTGAATTACAGGTGTACCTTGTTTTAGTAAAGGTGTACCTTGTTGTAGTACTGTAGACGGGGGGTGGATGCAGACTCCTCCTCCTCGCTGCCTGTCAGTCTCAAGAGGAACTCTTCTTTCTCCACCTCCGTCGCTGCCTCCTGGAAACACTGCAGAGCCTGAGGAAAGGAGACAAGGACACGACATTAGGAGAGGTGACAAAGAGACAACTTGAGAAGACAAGTAGACGACATTAGGAGAAGAATGACAGGAGGAGAGGAGACAAGGTGGAGAAGAAATGACAGGAGAGGAGAGACGACCAAAGGAGAAGACACAAGTAGACTAAATGAGGAGAAAAGAATACAGGAGGAGAGGAGACAACATGAGGAGAAGTGATGACAGGAGAAGAGACAAGGAGACGACATTAGGAGTACTGACAACAGGAGTCGTAATGAGGAGAGGAGACAAGGAGGCGATATGAAGAGAAAAGACGACAAGAGGAGAGGAGACAACTAAAGGAGAAGAGACAAGGAGACAACATAAGGAGAAGAGACAAGGAGACGACATGAGGAGTAGAGACAACAGGAGAGGAGACGACATAAGGAGAGAGACAACAGGACAGGAGACAAGGAGGCAATATGAAGAGAAAAGACGACAGGAGGAGAGAGTCAGCTGATCCTGCTCCTCTCCCTGCAGAAAATGTGCTAAGTTGTGATTTGTGTGTTTACGTGTGTGGGTCTCACCTTCTGTCCCTCTCCGTTGGCCAGGTAACACTGACCCATCATAAAACGACGGGAGCCCACGTTCACCTGACACCAAGGACCAATCAGCCTCACATACTCCTACAGAAAGACACACAGACACACAGACAGACAGACAGACAGACAGACAGACAGACAGACACACACACACGGTTTTAAACCTGTCACAGTTGTGAACTGATAGACCAGCTGATGTGTGAACACAGAGTTAATGATGAGCTCAGGTCGACTCACCTGTAGCTGTGTGTACTGACAGTTAGCCATCAGACACTCTGGGAACTGGAAACCTGGGTTATTGGGCCAACTGGGAGAACTGATTTAAGGATCAACAGACTGAGTTGTCCACACAGCTGAACATGTAGAGAGGTAGATATAGTTTATATGTTTACCAACACCTGCTCAGGTGTCTCAGGTGAGAAGAGGATACAGCAGCTGAGCCAGCAGGTGGACCAGGCTGGAGGTGATGTGACTCCAGGGGAGCAGAGCGTCGGCGTGCTGCTGGGAGAAGATCTGAGACACCATCATCTTCCTCGCTACCGTCTGATAGACGAGCTCCACCACTGTCTGAGGACTCAGCACTAAACACAAAGAGGAGGGGGCTGATTATCTGTGCTACAGGTGAGACAGCATGACAGGCACCTATCACCTGTTATAAGTCCTATTCTCACAGGATCAGCATTAGTTTATATTTTTGTCTCCACGATGTCCTCCACAGGTGAGTATCTGAACCTCAACTGAGGCTACACTATTCATTTAATGTTTTACAGCATATGAGCCTTTAAGAGGAGTCTTCACAGTCTTGAAGAGTTCAGCTGGAGGGTCAGTCCTACAGGGTTCAGCTGGAGGGTCAGTCCTAAAGGGTTCAGCTGGAGGGTCAGTCCTACAGGGTTCAGCTGGAGGGTCAGTCCTAAAGGGTTCAGCTGGAGGGTCAGTCCTACAGGGTTCAGCTGGGGGGTCAGTCCTAAAGGATTCTGCTGGAGGGTCAGTCCTAAAGGGTTCAGCTGGAGGGTCAGTCCTAAAGGATTCTGCTGGAGGGTCAGTCCTAAAGGATTCTGCTGGAGGGTCAGTCCTAAAGGATTCTGCTGGAGGGTCAGTCCTAAAGGGTTCAGCTGGAGGGTCAGTCCTAAAGGATTCTGCTGGAGGGTCAGGGGTTCATTTTGTTTTTCTGATACTGGCGATCATTAAAACAACAGATCGTATTACATAAGATGAAAGGGGGATGGTGGAGGTGAACATGAATCTGACCTGATCTGTGCGAGGAGAGAGACGGAGAGTCTGACAGTTCCAACACGGTCAGGTGCTGCAGGTGAGCATCTCTGCAGGCAAGAGAAGAGCAGGTGATCAGTAACAGTAAACAGACTGTGTTCAACACATCACATGACCAGCTCACTGCCAGCACTACACTCACAGGATGTCCACAGGTACGGAGGAGGCGGGACTTTGGCTGATGTGTTTGAGGAGGTGATAGGAGGACAGGAGGTGAGAGCTGCGAGGAATCAAGTCCTGCTGGAGCTGCAGCAGCTGAGCCCCCCCTCCCAGAAACACCTGAGAGAGACAGGTAAACACACACACAGGTACAGGTAAACACACAGGTAAGTTAATAATCAGACATATACCCTCTGGTGTTCAGTTTAAAGATGCATGAGTCCTGTGTGTGTGTGAGTGTGTGTGTGTGTGTGTGTGTGCATACGTTGTCTCCAAAGCGCAGGTAGAGTTTCTGCAGGATCAGCAGGTCTCTGCAGAACAAAGCTCTGGTCATGGTCATGTGACAGACGGCCTGACAGACGAGAGACACAGCCGAGCTGCTTCCCATCACCTGAGACAGGTTTATCCTTACGTTCAGACTGTGACCTGTGAGACACAGAGCAGGGCAACACACACCTGTGAGTCAGTGAGCCACAATTGATAGGCGAGTATGATGTCACTCAGGTGACCAGGTGTTTTCTACCAGGTGTGACAGGTCCCTCTGCTGCAGGTTCAGAGTCGGTCTCCAGGTCCAGCTCCCTCAGGAGAACCATCATGGCGGCCGCCGGGTTCCTGATGTCCTGCAGCTTGTTCTGGATGTCCTCGATCACGTTCTCACTGCAGGAAGTGACATCATCAACACAGATGAAACATAAATACAATGTTTCTGAGTGTGTGTGTCTGTATATGTGTCCGTGTGAGTGTGTGTCTGTATGTGAGTGTTTCTGTGTGTGTTTGTGTATGTGCTGCACACCTGTCGTTGGACAGCAGGTGTTCCAGGATGAGCTCTGCTGCCCTCTCAGGTGACTGCAGGTGTTCCAGAGCTTTCTCCATTTCGTACGCCATCTCTCCAGAGATGGCATCACTGATAGCACGCACACACTGAACGAGCTGCAGGACGTCCCGCCCCAACTCTGCATCTACAAAACATTCTATCAATATATGAAGGAACCTCAGAGTCCTGATGAACAGAAACTCAACAAACCTTCAGTAAGGGGCGTGTCCTCCTCTGACGACAGGTACTCATCATAGGACAGGTAAAGGTGATCCACAGCAAAGCACGGCAAGAGGAAGGACACAAAGCCCTGTAACACACACACACACACACACACACACACACACACACACACACACACACACCACAACACAACCCACACACACACACACACCCACACACACACACACACCACACACACACACACACACACACACACACACACACAGCACACACACACACACACACACACACACACACACACACACACACACACACACACACACACAGTTTAAGTGTCAGTAAACAGTCAGTAAACAGATAGTAAACAGTAAACAGTCAGTAAACAGTAAACAGTCAGTAAACAGTAAACAGTCAGTAAACAGTAAAAAGACGGACCTTCCTGAGCAGACACACCAGTCCTGTGCTGGGGTTCACGGTCAGACTCAGAGGTTCTGATTGGACCTCCTGATACTGCAGACAGCAGGAGTAAAACCTGGACCAGAACTCCACCTGCAGCTGACGATACTCCTCCTGAGAGAACTCAAACTCTGTCAAACTGCTCTGAAGCTGAGGGAGGGAGGAGGGGGGAGTAGAGGGAGAGATCAGTGTCTGCAGCAGTTCAACTTTTCACACTGTAAATAAACAGGTGTGCTGTTACCTCGCTCTCCACAGCCAAAGTCACCTCCTTCTTCAGACCCTCCCACGACACTTCTGAGATCCTCTCTGAGCCCCGACGGAAGATCTACAACACACAACTGAGTAAATACACACACAGCACACACTGACTGCACACCAGAGTCTGATGATGTCATATTGACATCACAGCCGGTAGAGTCTCACCTGTAGAGCTTTGACGATGGCAGAAGCTGTGAAACGGAGAGGAGAGAAGAGAACTTCCAGGTACGTTTCCTGTCAACACACACACACACAAAGAGCAGAGTTGCTATGACAACTGAGTTTTCTGGAGTGTGATAGTGTTTTAATCTATCTCATCCTTGCTGACCGCCAGATGGCGGTGCTTAGAGCACTGAATATTCCCTTCATGCATAAGCAGTTTGAGTATACAAACAATGTCACTTGTGACCCCACCCACTTGTGACTCAAGAGAGAGAGGCCATATCTTCTGGTGTCATCTGGGGTTCTGTTCCTACTTTCTGCTCGGGTTCTGTTTTGCACTAACTTACCGATCATTAGCCGAAGCTAATTGCATTAACTTACTAAAAGCGGAGTGCCTGGCTATAGTCCTGGTCACAGCGGCTGTGGGTTCGAATCCGACCTCGGCCCTTTGCTGCATTGAGTGAACTCATTGAGTGAGGTTGGGGACAGTTCCATATAGGCCACCATGCGTATAGCCTTGGATCGCCTGCAGCTGGAAATACCTCAACAGGCCAAATCAGCCCCTGAGAGTGCCTTCTTCAGGCACGGGTGGAGCAGTGAGAGGGGAATCTGGGGGAGCAGTGAGAGGGGAGTCTGGGCGAGCAGTGAGAGGGGGAGCTGTGAGAGGGGAGTCGGGGGGAGCAGTGGAAGCAGTGAGAGGAGGTCATGTGTCTGAGGAGGAATGTGTTTACAGTCTAACATACAGTCTAACAGAGTTCCCCTCTGTTCTACGGAAACACTGTAGCCTTGTTCACAGCGCGATTTCAAGCCTGTTTCTTCTTCAATCTGAACGTCGTGGAGGAGTCATGGGGGACGAAGTGACCCCTCCTGTTACTTCAGACGTAGTAACAGAGGTGTTAAAGAGGAGAGTCAGGATCAGCTGAGCCAGCGCTGTGTGTGCATGCCTTGACTTTTTTAGTCTATCGATCTTTAAAGTAACAAATACTGTATCGTGTTAAACTGTGTAATTCAAAGCTGGGTTGCCAGGGGGTGCTAGCTGTGTCCCAGAAACTTGGAGGGGGAAAATGGAAAAACATAAACCAACTGGGTGGTTAGTGTGCACACCCCATTATAGAGGCTGTGGTAGATAAGATTCACCGCTAAATAATGGTCTAAATCCATCAATATTTGAGCTAAAGACGAGCTGTAAAAAGTATGGCAATCACTCAGATCCGATCCACTAAAGAGAAGGATAACTAAGATGTATATTGGCACCAGACAGCCTGAATGTGACTCTTATTGGTCTCAGTTAGCTTCATATGGTGCTTTTTATTTTATTTAAAGGGATACTTCACCCGTTGAAACATGAATCTGCATTGACATATATGTTGTAGAAATGTGAAATACATTTTGAAGTTGGTGCCTTCTTGACCGAGAAAAGGCAGAAAGTGTCTTTTTGGCTCATGTGGATGAAAGACAACAACTCCCAGGACGCACAACTCCGCAGGCCACTCCCACTAAGGTCCTCTATTTACAGACATTTACCTATACAGGCGTTTCCAAGACTTCTTCCAGAAGGAATTTGTATCTTGGAAATTGGGCTGGTTGAAAACATGAGGAACTAGCGATGTAGTTTCACCCCCTCTAACCAAAGCAGCCTCCGGTGTCACAAAATTACGAGTTCTGCGTCATCGGAGGCTACTTTTCAGACTTAGAAACACGGAGCTTTCCTGTCTCAGGGGAAAATAAGGGCGGGATGCACGACCATTCAAAAATACTACCAGGTTTCTAATGATAGAAAGCGTAATGCAAATAGGTCAAGTTTCCCTTTACCATTGAAAGTTAGTGATGAGAACAATGCAGTGACAAAACTATCCCAAAAGCCCTGATATCTGTATTCAACAGAGCAGCAGCAATGCTGTTGGGTCGGATGAAATGTAGGAGCCTTCTTGTGTGTAAAACCCCTGCATGCTGAGGGGATCAAACACTGGTTAAAAAAAAAAGAAGCCCAATTGTCCTTTACAATAATTCACTAGCCTTTAACGTATAAAACATTTAAGATTAGTTTGAGATAATACAGACTCATAAACTATACTGTAATACACGGGTCGAACGTTTACTACAGCACGTATAGTCACCCCCCAAAGGCCCATTCTGAGCCAGGAGAAATCATGGTGTGTGTCTGTGTGACTCACTCTGGGGTCCTGGTCCACTCCTATATGAACTTCTTCTTCAGGTGGAGGCTGAACAAACACCTGGTTCCACTGACCTGCTGTGTTACTGAGACACACACACACACACACACACACACACACACACACACACACACACACACACACACACACACACACACACACACACACACACACACACAAGTGAGCAGCTGTTTCCTCTCACACATGAACTGACTTCATGTTTAATAATCCCAGAGTGTCTTACTGTTCAAAGTTGATGTATTTAACCACAGAGGAGTTTGATTCGTCCACCCACACAGCCCAGATGTCGGAGGAAGTCAGTGAGAAGTCCACCAGAGTCTCCTGAGGACACACACACAAAGTCAAACTTTTAACATTACTCCATGTAATGCTCGAGGCATGTGCTGAAACTTAAGGAAAATAAAGGAACATTGTGTTGCCGAGTTCCTGTGAGTACCCGTGTTTCTGTGTGTACCCGTGTGTTGTTTTTTTTTTAAAGATTTATTTTTGGGCTTTTGTGCCTTTAATGCAGAGAGATAGGACAGTGGATAGAGTCAGAAACCAGGGAGAGAGAGAGAGTGGGGAATGACATGCGGAAGGAGGCCACGGGCGGGATGTGAACCCAGGCCTCCCGCTTGAGACGACAGCCTCCATACATGGGGCGCGCGCCCTAACCATTGCGCCACCAGCGCACCCCATACCCGTGTTTCTGTCTGTTCCCGTGTTTCTGTGAGTACCCGAGTTTTTGTCTGTACCCGTGACAACATACATACATGGCTGCAAACGCGCACACACACCGGAACGCCAACCACCACGCGCACCTGTTGACTTGTAGTGCAACGGAACACGGTTGATCCGCTATCATTATGGACCACGTCAGGAACACACGTTCAACTTTTCTCCGTTCACTTCCACCGTGTCTGCTTTTATCAACATTCAATAACTTAACGATCGTAACGTCAGCCAGTTGTAGTCTGTGAACTTCCCACAGACTGTCAAACAGCGCTGTGTTATAGCCAGCAAATATATTTTTATAATTTCTCAATTTCCTGATCTGATCAAATGATCCAAATGACCTGTGACTTAAATCTGTGATTATTTGACATGATACCTTAGTAACTCAAATAAATGCACTTAAACAAATGTAAATGACGTATGTAAAACGAAAACACAATTTAAAGGAAAGGAGCAGCCATCATAGGAAGAGGGTGAAATGCACTGGCAGGATATGACCTCCCCTCTCCCAATCTCATTACACCCCTCTCCTTTAAAATCCCTCTCCTCTCATGTTTCACTGTTGCAATAAAAAAAAATTCTTTACCAGATTTAAAGGCTTTACATGCAATTTTTTGATCCAGCAGATGTCGCCCTTGAGCACCAGCATGAAACCAAAACAACTCGCGGTGCATTGTTGTGTTAGCATGCTAATGCTAGCGATCTTTATTATGCTCGTATCTTCACACTGCATGTACATTTACACAAAATGAGTGTGATCTAGAAACACAGTTAAGCAGTGAGTACAGTATGTTATTCTTCTTTTCTCTAGTTCCTCAATTAAACAACTTTTAAACACGAGGGAACCCTGTGTCTGTGTGTACCCGTGTTCCTGTGAGTACCCGCGATTCTGTGTGTACCCGTATTTCTGTGAGTACCCGTGTTTCTGTGAGTACCCGAGTTTCTGTGTGTACCCGTGATTCTGTGTGTACCCGAGTTTCTGTGAGTACCCGTGTTTCTGTGAGTACCCGTGTTTCTGTGTGTACCCGTGTTTCTGTGCGTACCCGTGATTCTGTGTGTACCCGTGTTTCTGTGCGTACCCGTGATTCTGTGCGTACCCGTGTACCTGTCTGTACCCGTGTTTCTGTGCGTACCCGTGTTTCTGTGAGTACCCGTGATTCTGTGTGTACCCGTGTACACCCTTGTTTCTGTGTGTACCCGTGTTTCTGTGTGTACCCGAGTTTCTGTCTGTACCTGCGTTTCTGTCTGTACCCGGGTTTCTGTACACGTGTTTGTGTGAACCCGTGTTTCTGTGTGTGCACGTGTTTCTGTGTGTGCCCGTGTTTCTGTCCGTAACCGTGTTTCTGTGTGTACACGTGTTTCTGTCTGTACCCGTGTTTCTGTCCGTACCCGTGTTTCTGTCTGTACACGTGTTTCTGTGTGTACCTGTGTTTCTGTCCGTACCCGTGTTTCTGTCCGTAACCGTGTTTCTGTGTGTACCCGAGTTTCTGTCTGTACACGAGTTTCTGTGTGTACCCGTGTTTCTGTGAGTACCCGTGTTTCTGTGTGTACCCGTGTTTCTGTGCGTACCCGTGTTTCTGTGTGTACCCGTGTTTCTGTGCGTACCCGTGATTCTGTGTGTACCCGTGTACCTGTCTGTACCCGTGTTTCTGTGCGTACCCGTGATTCTGTGTGTACCCGTGTTTCTGTGTGTACCTGAGTTTCTGTGTGTACCCGAGTTTCTGTCTGTACCTGCGTTTCTGTGTGTACCCGGGTTTCTGTACACGTGTTTGTGTGAACCCGTGTTTCTGTCTGTACCCGTGTTTCTGTCCGTCCCCGTGTTTCTGTCCGTACCCGTGTTTCTGTGCGTGCCTGTGTTTCTGTCTGTACACGTGTTTCTGTGTGTACCTGTGTTTCTGTCCGTACCCGTGTTTCTGTCCGTAACCGTGTTTCTGTGTGTACCCGAGTTTCTGTCTGTACCTGCGTTTCTGTGTGTACACGTGTTTCTGTCTGTACACGTGTTTCTGTCTGTACACGTGTTTCTGTCTGTACACGTGTTTCTGTCCGTACCCGTGTTTCTGTCTGTACCCGAGTTTTCCTTGTCAACCCCTTGTGTACCCCCATTTACCTGAGAGCTGAACAGGGTGGAGATGTGGTCGAGGCTGTAGCGCTGGTTGTCTGTGGCGATGAGCTGCAGCACAGTGAACTGTCCTCTCTGGGGTACACTCAGGTAAACACACACACACAGGCCGGTTGAGGCGGAGAAGGCCAGGCGGAGGCGGTGACCCTGACCCGACAGACGCTTCACCCCTCTGCAGGCCGGCATGTAATCCAACATGTCTGCCTCGAGCAGACAGGCCTGTTCCTACAGGAGAGATATTACAAAGACTTGTTACAGATATTTTATCTAGAAACCGTGAACAGAGAAGAGGAGAGAAGTCTGCTTCCCTCTATAATAGCTATGATTACATTTGGGTTTAATGAACTTCAATAAAAGGTTTTCAAACACTACACTTCCCATGATGCTTTGCCGGAGGATAGTGTGTACGAGAGAGCTTACCCTGACAGACCACATGCGCAGTTTGTGGTCCTGACAGAGGGCGAAGATGAAGGAGTCTTCCTCTAACTCCCTCACACACAGACTGGACACCAGGTCAGCAGGACTGTGATCACCTCGCATCATCGCTGATGGCATCCAGCCAGAGAGCCTCTGCATCATAGAGCTCCGCCTCAGCTCCAGCACCGCCACGGGGCCTGCACACACAGAGAGAGAATGAGTGTTGTGTGTTTCAGACGAACTGGCTTCATAGGGTAATCATTTGAGATCAGCTGTCTTGTACCTGGCGTGTTGTGGGAGGGAAGAGTCACCACCATGATGCCTCCAGTAGGGGCACCACAGCATAGTGAGCCTCTCCAGACTGACTGAGCCAGGCTGTGGATGTGAAGGGACTTCCTGTCAGTCCCGCTGAGCTGGGGATGATGGCGCTGTGGGCGGAGTCCTGAAGGCTCAGCTTCCCCACATCAGTGAACACAGATTGCATGTGGAGCTCCGTCACCAGCTCCTACACACACAAACACATGACGCACACACCAATGTAATTACACATTATAAGTGACATACAAAGTATGTTAGAGAGTCCGTTACTCACACTGCGGTACATGCGTGATGGATGGGCAGCACAAGCCTGTGGACAGTCTGATTGGTGCAGACAAGGATGATGACATTGTTGAGCGTCTCCTGGATGGCGACGCCCCCTGGCAGCACTGTGCAGTGTATGAACTTGAGTCTGACGGCATTGTTGAGCAGGTTGGTGTCCAGAGACTGCTCCACCAGCTGTACCGTGTCTCCTGACGTGGACCTACACACACGCACACACACAGTGTCAGCTCCAAATAAGATTCATTATTAATAAAATTATTATTATACCCAGTTAACTTTAAGAGCCACATAAACACTGACATTCAGATAGTGTGTGTGTGTGTGTGTGTGTGTGTGTGTGTGTGTGTGTGTGTGTGTGTGTGTGTGTGTGTGGACCCTCACCAGTGAATGAATCTGTTGCTGGTGACAGACAGCAGCTTCCCACTCTCCTCATAGTGAAATGCTCCGGCGCTGTCCGGGAACTTCTGCCCCCCGGGGAGAGCAGCAACTTCTGCATGAACAGAGATCAGCTGAGTGTACACCAACAACGGGGATCATGTTGCCAATGAGACAGAAACATGAACCAAAAACATTTACCTAATTAACAAACATTGTGATTACTTGTTAGGACCGATCAAACAGCCAATCACAGCCCGCAGTTCAACACTAACCTGCTCACAGGACATTACAACACCTGCAGAGGAGCTCACAGTATACCGAAGTGTCTGCTCAAGGTATACCCATTACCCAGGTATATAAAGGTTACACCAACCGCATACCCAGGTATAGGTATACAAAGGTGTATGAAGGTATACACAAGCATAAACGTGTGTAAACAGGTATACACAGACATACCCAGTGTACAAGGTATAAACATGTATATAAGGTATACACAGGTATACAAATGATTCATACTATTAGTATTCTCTCGGTTACAGCCTCCACAACCTGCAGCTCACCTGACAGAGCTGTCAGTCAATCAGCAGAGAGTATTTCTTACATGACAAATTAATATGAGCAATAAATGGTCTTGATCTTTAGAAACCTGAAAACAGGAAGCTACAGGTAAACAACCCTAACTGTTAGCTTTCGGTTTGACAGAGGAACAACCGGCTAACCGAATCTAAAGACTGAACCTACCACCTGAGCAAAGGCAGCAGGTATATAACCGGAAACACGCCGCGTGCCATTATTTGACAGATCTTTCCCGGGCCCGGTACGTGACGCTACACGCTCACCTCACGCTGCTGTGTTAGCCTGCTAGCTGCAGATAGCATGCGCTGGCTCAAACCCTGCGTTATAACCCTGCGTCGTGACGTGTTTATGTGAAAATAGACGGAGGTGAGAGTCGGGAACATGCCGGGATCGTACCTAGGTTAACGGTGACTTCTCTGAAGCGCGGCAAAGTTTCCCTCTCAAAGCCGCAGATCTCTATGAAGCTGCGCTCCAACACCGCCGCCATCTTTCCTTCTTCCCCGTGGGAACCGTGACGTCAGAGGAGACTGACCGCGCGCTGTGCTTTCAAACATTTAAAGAGACAGGACACTCCAAATAACGACCCGTCAGAAAAAGCTGATTAAAGCTCCTTCTAAAAAAAATAAAAAAATAATTATAATCACACTCTCTGATACTCCTTGTAACTGCCTCTCATGTTTAGTTTTTGTTTGTCCAACCTTTAATTATTGTAGTTCTGTTCTGCAGTCATTGAGGCGGAACTAATTATTATTGATTGTTGGCATATAGCAGTTTTGCCAACGCACCTTGACAGAGGTGACACAGAATGAAGAGCGGAATTAAACTTAAGAAGTTAACGCACATATATAAACTTAAGGAGAGTAAAGAAGAAGAGTGGTCTGGGATTAGCCCCTCTTAGATAATAAGCCGCTTTATTGCTTTGTTTATGTATGTAAATTAGCGATGACACGCGGGAATTGTTATGCTAATTAGTTTATATGAAAGTGTGTTATCTACGTTGTCTAAATGTAAACTCTTTGATTTCCTTTCTCAATCTCAGTTCTCACGGGTTGGTCTGGAGGACTAAATAAACCTTGTATTTTAATCAAGACCTCGTGATTTGTGTTGTTATTTGAGGGAGCCACATTCCTCACTTTACATTCCGGCTCTTTCAGGCTGCTCTGTTATTTTAATACATTACATTCTTTGCGTAGGCTACGCAAACACAGGAACGAATTTAGTTTATTTACTTCGTCTATCTCCTTCATTGATATCTACTTTTAAAGGTCCAATCAGTGAGATGTGTAGTGAGTGAAATGATAAAGTGAGCTTACTATATGATCAGACATTAAGGAAACATGCTATGTTGAAGTGTTGGCTTCTCTGACAACAATGCAGCAGCCAGTATGTCCTCCTTCTAACTTTAGATTCTGGTCCTGAATGCTCTGGATTTGTTTGGACCAGAGAAGGTAGGTGGTTTTAAGGAACCCCCACATAGCCATTTTGGACGCCCCTCTGTTTGTCAGATATGAGAGCAGTTAACATGTCAAACCAACAGGTGTTGCAGTGATGGAAGCGGGCAAGAGAACTGGTTCAGGTAGAAGTGATTGTACTCGACCTAAAAAGCCTCTGCATGTTTCTAATAAGCTCCACGAGCAAAAACGTGCTCAAACTAGAATCAATATTGGAGATGCTTTTGAAAAATGGAGAGAAGTTAGAACGCAGAAAGGTTTACAGACCGATGCAGAACTGGTTAAACACTGAAGCTTCAGTGTCCACCGCATGAGCATCAACTCTAGAGATGGGGGGGGGGGGGGGTGACATTGCCTAAACTAAAGTAAAAATGAAATACTAAATTAAGAACAAGAACAGAAATATAATATTAAAGTCACAGAGCTGACAGTTTAATATAAAGTGTAGAAACATCAACACAGTTTAACGTTTAAATACAAGTAAAAAATTTAACTTTGATCTCCCTCCACTGGCTCCCAGTTACTGCTCGTATCAAATTTAAAACTTCACCCGTTGAAACATTAAAACAAACAGTACTTTTCAGACTCAGAAATACAAAGATTTCCCATCGCAGGGGAAAATGAGCGAGGGATACATGACCATTCAAAAATACTATCAGGTTTCTAATGATACAAAGCTTAATGCAAATGGATTAAGTATCCCTTTAACTTATCCAGGTCTACTCTCCCTCCTGCCCACCAAGCTCTGCCAATGAAAGGCGTCTGATCCAACCTTCACAACAGGGTCCTAAGTCTCTGACTAGACTCTTCTCCTCTGTCGCCCCCCAGTGGTGGAACAAACTACCAAACTCCATTCGATCTGCAGAGTCCCTCTGCACCCTCTGTCTTTAGCTTGCACCAAAAAGCTAAAGACCCAGCTCTTTCATGAATACCGACTAACTTAATGACGATGGTCTTGATATTATTGATGATGATGATGGTAATTGTTAGGTGGGGTTGTTTCTGTTTGTATAAATCCAATGAAGAAATCGTGAAACAGACTGGAGATTATAACACCATTTAATTGGCCGAGGTCAGACAACTTCATCAAACAAGCACGCTTCCAAATCACTGGACTGACAAAGTGCTGACAAAGTAACAGTGTTCACAGTGCTGCTTATATTCTGTCAAAAAGGCGCAACCCACAAATTCCCCTCCACTTGGGTGCATCACCATAAAACAATAAAGATGACATGACACTGATTTGTATACGTAACAACTGTAGACTCTCTGTCTAGCAAACAGTTGCTGACAACATATGCTTGGCTCCTATCCAAACATAGATCTGCTACTACTTAGGTGCTTCACTCATATAAGGTTACAGCTTCAGACACCTAAAGGTAGGAGTGCTAACAGGTGGTAGGCAGACTTGAATAATACATTTCACGAAGTTACCAAGATTAATGAATTTCATGAAAATTCGTACTAACAGTAATACTGATGGTTTTGTTGATAACGATGACTTATAAGATGGTTTCTATACTGATTAGAGCTCTCAAGAACTGCCGTCAATGTTGTGCTTTGCCTCTGGTCACTTCCTGTTAGCACCTGTGTGTCCAATCGGACTCAAAGCTGATTGCGTTTGTTCTGACTGACATTGTTCCTTTTTTTCTAGATCCTTGCTTGTGTTGTACTTACTCTCTGATGTACGTCGCTTTGGATAAAAGCGTCTGCTAAGTGAATTGTAGGATGTTTACAGGTGATCACAGATCACTTTTGAATATAAGAAATATATTGTATTTGTATATTGTATATATGCGCTCTCCTTCTCTCTGAGGGTTCATTAACTTCTTACGAAACATTCAGCCCCCATATTTCCCCTCTATCCGGTGTCTGTGTGTGTGTGTGAATCAGATGAATAGGAGCTGTGTAGTCAGTGTTTTTCAACAATTCAACTCTTTGTCTCCTTCTCTTTGTCAATGTGTGTGTGTGTGTGTGTGTGTGTATGTATGTGTGAGTGAGTGTGTGTGTGTGTGAGAGTGTGTGTGTGGTGTGTATGTGTGTGTATGTGTGAGTGAGTGTGTGTTTGTGAGAGTGTGTGTGTGTGTGTGTGTGTGTATGTGTGTGTATGTGAGTGAGTTTGTCTGTGTGAGTGAGTGTGTGTGTGTGAGTGTGTGTGTATGTGTGTGTGTAACAGTGTGTATGTGTGAGTGAGTGTGTTGTGTATTACCGTGATGTTCTGAAGAAGATATTTGGACAACAGGAAGTGTGTGTGTGTGTGTGTGTGTGTGTGTGTGTGTGTGTGTGTGTGTGTGTGTGCGCGTGTGTGTCTGTGTGCGCGCGCGTGTTGATGATGCTTTCACTGTTTCTAGGAACAGACCGTGATGTTCTGAAGAAGATATTTGGACAACAGGAAGTGTGTGTGTGTGTGTGTGTGTGTGTGTCTGTGTGTGTGTCTGTGTGTGTGTCTGTGTGTGTGTGTAAATGAAATCAGAGCGCTGGCTGATGGTGAAGCAGAGCCATTTAGAGGTGCGGTCGCAGCAACAGTATCAAAAGCGCCCAGAAATGTTAAAGAAAAAAACCCATCTCCGTTTCCGTAGCAACATTCACAAAGTGGGATGGTGCCTTTAGCAGGGTGTGGCCAACATGTAAAACAGGAGACTGTGGGGATCGGACCCTGCAGATATAAGACTCTGGATGAAGTCAAGTTAGAGCAGAGAGAAAGCGAGTGGCAGACCACTGAAGACAGACAGACAGACTGAGAGACTTAGAGACAGACGGACAGGTATCAGGACAGGTGAAACGGTTGAGGACAGACGGCTGAAGGATGTCATTGTTTGAGTTCTGGAGGAAGAGAAAGGAGCGAGGAGACATTCTGCAGAGGAGCAGAGAGAGAAGCCTCTCTCCATCACAGCTGTGAGTATGCTTGTGTGTGTAAGTAGTACGCTCCTGACTAGAAACACACGCGCGAGGGAGGGAGAGAGAGAGGGAGACTTTAGATGAGTGTGTGTGTGTGTGTGTGTGTGTGTGTGTGTGTGTGTATTATGGCGTGCGGAATGGTTCATCACATGCACGCCGCACATACACACGTACGTGTGATTATTTCATAAAAGTCCCACGCGTTATGTTGCGACCTAAAAATATTTGTATGCAATTCAATTTGACAGAAGAAAGCACACTACACTATAAGTTAGAAAGTACTGTATGTACCAGTAATATTATTTCACATTTGTTTAATTTGTTAATTAAAAAAACATACAGGTACTACAATTTCATGTTAGTTTACACAGAAATTAAAAAGCTGTTATGAACTCTTTTAATTTTAGGTTTTGATGACATCATCGGCCTGCTTGCAGTCGTGGTCAAAGGATGAATGCGCATGTATGCCGTTTTTGTTGTGAGGACCCGATGCTTCTTAAGAAAGATAATCTTAAAAAAATACAGCACCGGGAAGAATAAAGTTGCCAAACGGAAGACAGAGTCCTGGTCTTTTCATGGGTGCAACACCTACACACGCACGTGCGTTGTCTAAGTACTACACGCAGCCTGACTTATAGACGCAGACACGTGTGATTTTTTTATCCGAGAGGGAGAAGGAGAGAGAGAGAAACTTTAGGTGTGTGTGTGTGTGTGTGTGTGTGTGTGTGTGGTGTGTGTGTGTGTTCATGCTGAGCTTGGAAAGGGATACAGGGATACAAATAGATACATGCAGTAAGATGTACTGTAAATGCACAAAGAGAGAGAGAGAGAGAGACCTCAAGGTGCCAGTTAACCTATAGCTGCTGGAAGATGATTCCAAAGGAGAGAAGCCTGATAACTAAAGGCTCTACCTCCCATAGTACATTTAGAGACCGTAGGTACCACGAGCAGGCCTGATAACTGAAGACTCTACCTCACGTACAATTAGAGGCCGTAGGTACCACGAGCAGGCCTGATAA